ATCTAGATTGAATCTTAGGAGTGCTCTTGGCTAAAGTCAACAAAGCTAGTAGAAGGCAGATCAAAGCATGTGACTCTCTTTATCACCATGTTCTCATATAGATAAAGGCCCACATTTCACAGAGAGGAGGAAGGGATCATAGTAGTTTACTTGTTAATGGCTGAAGGTCCTTGAACTAGCACTTCAAGGAGGTTTTGCTAGAAAAGTCCATCAAGCATGGCCAACACATGCTCCACTTGCATTTCATACTCCATGTTGGAGATAATACACACCTATCCAGGAACAGGCAATTTAAATCCAGTTGGACTGGTTAGAGATGAGTGGAATTCTAAGTATCATTGGTCTAGAGTTTAAGGAAAAAGAGAGGAACCAAAGAAAGGTGAAGGTGTCTCTCCTGGTTAGCATTAACCATCAACCTGACACAGCCTAGAATCACCCAAAAAGAGATTCTCAATTGAGTATCTGTCTTCAGGTTGGTCTGTGTGAAGGCTTTGATTGATAATTGATGTAGGAGGGTCCGCCCACTGTGGGCATCACCATTCCTTAGGCAAGTAGTCCAGAGTTTCTATATAAGAAAGCTAGCTAAGCACAAGCCAGTGAGCTAGTTAGCAAGCAACATACCTCCAAGATTTGTGCATAAATTTCCTGCTTGGACATCCCTTGGTGACAGACTATGACTCGGAAGTGTTAGCTAAGATAAAACTTTATCCTCCCTGCTGTGCCTTTGGTTGTTGTGTTTATCATGGCAGTGGAATGAAGAGCATCATCTCTCTCTCCTCATGAGAATGGTATCAGGGAACCATTGTGACAGCTAGGCAGCTTAGTTTAGGAACAGAACAGAGTACTCTCCTTGTGGCAAGTTCTCCACATTTGGCTTGGGATAGAGGTTGAGGGACCAGCAGTCCTCCATCTCCACACACTCAGATCCCAGTTCTGCCCAAGCAATGTACAAAAACCATGTGGTCTTTGCTCATAGTATATAGAGAGATGCGTGTGTTTAGTGTTTGTTTTGATTTTATAACAATGTGATTGGGCTGTTTTGTTCTATCAGGAGCTTCTTTCATTTTATGTATTATGTTCATGCTGTCAGCGACCTTCCATAACTGTGTGATACTCCTCAAGAGTAATCCTCTCCCTTGTAGAAAGGTGAGCCATACTGGTACTTTCCAGTTCTTTGCTTCTTGGAGACGCCATGGCAGAACACTCTGGAACCTGTAACTCTTTCCAGCTTGTTTATCTTCTCTCCTTTCATGAACCAAGTGTCTAGGGGTAAAGTCCATTTCTAGCAGCTGTCAGCTATCACCTGTCCCTCTGCCATGATGTCCCTTAGGAACCACAGTCACTAGAAGAGGCTGGAGGATCATTGTGAGTTTTAAGCCAGCTTTTGGCTAGCTAGCAAGAGCCTGTCTCAAAAAAGAAAAGAAAAGGAAACAATTGTTTATGACCAGAACAAAGAAGTCTCGAGAAGGTAGGACCATACAGGTTTAAAGAAAAATCATAGTCCAAGGTCTGGTTGAGACTGCCTGTATCTGAATTCAGGAACAAGAAAGTCAGGAATGTAAATCTACGCAGTGATGCCTGATAGGGCTGAGGCCCATGACTAAGTGGTAATGAACTTCATTCCTCTGGCTGTCTTGAGCAGGTGTGCGTGGCTGGCTCCCAGCAAAGCATCTGTGAATGGAGCCGGGCTTCATAAAGAACTTAGCTTCGGCTCTTTTCTCCCACACATCTTCCTGCTCCCGATTCTAGCCAGCTGTGAGCTGCTGTGTGCTGTTTCGGTTTTGTTTGGTTTTTGACACTGAATTTCTGCATAGGTGGAGCTGGCCTTGGACTCCAGGCAGACACCATCCTCCTCTCCCACCCCATCAGCACCAGGGCTTTCAGGGCTGGGAGGACAGGTACCCACCACCACATTTGGCTCCAACCAGGCGCATCAAAGAGAAAGCTGTCTCATCCCCAGACAGAGAGAAGGGCTGGGGGTGCCTGCTTAGGAAGAGACTGAACACTGGTGTGTGGCCACAGAGAGCAGGCTTAGCAATAGGCACACAATTCATTCAGTTCTCACTGCTCCTTCTGTGGCTGTCACATGACCAGCTGTGGGTTTCCTGACGTGGTAGATCCTACCTTGGAATTGTGACCAGAATAAGCCCCTTTCCTCCTAAGCTTCTTTTTGTCAAGGTATTTTATCATCGCAACAGAAATGAAACTCAGACAGGGCCACACAAGAACAATCTGCCAGATTTGTCCCTCGGCCAGAGTTTTGTGGGTCCCCGAGGCTGGGGATGTGGGGATCCGAGCATCACCTCTTAAGAGGTGGCATCATGCTGGGATATGACGACTTGAGACACCACAAGCCACATAGTGAGTATATATGTATGGGGTCCATCATAAGGGTTTGGGGTGCAGCTTATAGCTAAGGACCCAAGGGAAACGCCCTTGCATAGTGCCCACACCCCCCAGGCATGCTATCTCATGCCTTTGTTCACTCAGGCTCCTTTCTCATTTCTGGAGTGTGCCCCACCCCCACAAGCTGCCCCCCAGTACACAGGTGCCCAGACAGGACATTGCTTCTTTCTTGGCAGGGCTTCAAATCCAGTGATGTCCCCTATGGACTTCCCTGTCTGTGGGACTCTAAGTGGCCACTTCCCTTCCTCAGTTCCCAGGCCTTCCTTCAAGCAGGGATGTCATGCCCACCTGGTCTGCCCTGGGAGTCATATCAGAGTTTAGGAAAGTGTTCCACAAGTGCCAACCCATCATGGAGCTCCAGCTCCCTCCTCGGACCCCTTTTCCTCTCCCACCTCTTCTTCTCTCCTCCTCCTCCCACTCCTCTCTTCCTCCCCTAACCTCCTGGTAATGTCATCTCCTTCATGAGCCCCACTGTCCTCAGGATCCCAGGAAACCTTTCTGCAGTGGTGCTGAGAGTTTGAATATTTACCACAGTGGCCTTTGAACTTGAGTGGGCATCAGAATCATTCAGATTTGTTTAAAAACAAAAAACAAACAAACAAACAAACAAAACGCTGGTGGCCGCCCTGAAAGGCTCTTAGCCAGGCGGTCTGGGATGGGGCAGTGAGTTAATGTTCTAACAAGCTCCCAGGTCTACTGAGGCTGCTGGTCCAGGCAGGACAACTCCTTCAGAATGGCTGTCTTCCCTGCTCCCCTTTGCTTCCTTTTCCCTTCTGTCCTCCTATCCATCTTCTCGCCTGAAGCAAAACAGAGTTTATTATAAAGCAAATAAATTAGCTTTCCTTCTGCATAATAATCTTAAACTGAGTGAACTGGCTTAGATATTGTTCCCCAGAATTGGACTCACCCACTTCTTTAGAAACCTAACATGGGCTGGGAAGATGTCACAGTCGGTGAGAGCACTTGCAATAGAAGTATAAGGACTTGAGTCTGAATCTCCAGCACCTATGTAAAAAGATGGCTGTAACTTCATGCCTGTAACTCAGTGGTGGGCAGCTGGAGCCAGATGCTCAACAGACTAAGAATATAAGAACTCCTTGGTAAATGACACCAATGGAAAAAGAAACTGACGTTATATTCAAGCATAAAAGGTCCGTATGTCGTCCCCCACAACCCATCCCAAGATCAGGTCAGGCTAAGACAGCCTTCTACCCAATATTGCTTTACAATTTCTAGCCAGGACAAGCAGACATACATAGATAGATAGATAGATAGATAGATAGATAGATAGATAGATAGATCAGACAGACAGACAAACAGACAGACAGAGGCAGGTAGGCAGGTAGATAGATGGCTTCTAGGTTGGAAATTAAAATTATCTATTTGTAAATGATGGTGTGTGTGTGTGTGTGTGTACAGAATATTCTGAGGAATTCATAGTGGTCAGCATGCCTTCTAACACATGAGCATGACCTGCTCTAAAGAGGTTGCAAGGATATCTTATTTAATTAAGTAAAGCTTCTACACCAGCTTACAGGCACCAAATGGAGGGACAGAGATGTCCTGCATCAAGAGATATAAATAACCAGATGCAGACCTCTGCAAATCCTGGAACGAAAGTGACCCGGTGTCTTCAGCACACCAATTATAAGGAAATGATGGACAATCTGAGAGACGCAGGAGACCTGTCCTTCGTATACACACACTTGGTTTTAATCTTCATTCAAACCAGCCAACTGTAGGAGAACGTAAGACCAGGGAAACTGGAGCACCAACTAAATATCCTACCCTGCTTTTAGTTTATGTTGTTTGTTTGTTGTTTTGTTTTGTTTGAGACAGGATCTCACTGTAGTGACTGTCTTGACTGTCCCCAAACTGGCTCTGTAGCCCATAGTCAGTGCTAAGATTAAAGGTGCACCCAGCTTCTCCTGGGACAGCCAGCTGGGACAAGCAGGCCTCTATATGGCAACACACTGTTTTCCACGGATGACCTAGGATCAGTCAGACAACCTGGTCACACCCTTGCTGTTGCTGTGCCATACCTGTGGAGAGGACCAAGCTGCTCTTCTGTTAGACCTGACCATGTCTCTCCACTACATGAACCCTCTTCAACTTCTAGGATTAAAAACCTTTGAAGAATTCTTCCACAAATGCTTGTCTTTCCTGTCTCCGTGTCTCTGTTACTTTCTAAACTTTGTGAGCCAGTTCTACGGGGAAACCTACCCCACCCCCATTGTCACCTGCCGTTCATGGTGGTGGTGTCACAGGTTAACCTTGGTAATGTGTACATCACCTCTTTTAGCTTTTTTTTATACAGTCAGTACAAAAAAATTTGTTGTGAGTTTTATAACTTTGTATCATTTTAGATAAGTTTGTGTTTGTACTTGTGTAGAGTGAAAGGACGGTGTTGTCTAGGGTTAGAATGCAAATTGCGGGAAAAAAAAGACAAACTCAACTTCTCCACCTCTCTCCTACCCTAATGTCTGCAAAGGACTTGGGACTCCTGTTTACCCTGAAGCATCACCCAAGTTCCTGCCACAGTGTGAGAGCTGAATGGTGACTCTGTGTCGTCTCTCCTCCTTGTCTCCCTCCAGCTGCAACAGCAAGCTCTACCTGGAGAGGCTCCCCAACACCAGCATCATCATCCCTTTCCACAACGAGGGCTGGTCCTCACTGCTGCGCACTGTTCACAGCGTGCTCAACCGCTCGCCCCCAGAGCTAGTGGCGGAGATCGTGTTGGTCGATGACTTCAGTGATCGAGGTAGGCCTCACCCACCCTGGCTCTGCTTTCTGAGCTCCATGCTTACAAAGGGATGCTGCCGAGAACACAGGTTCCGAGCAGTGTGGTATATGATTCCTTACTTATGCAGCAGTGACTACAAAGACCTGAGACCTTACACATGATCTCACTTCCCCATTCACAGTGTCCCAGCAACAGGTCCTATTTTTTAAAAGATGGATGGATGGATGGATGGATGGATGGATGGATGGATGGATGGATGCCAGTAGAGGAAATCAGATCCCATTACAGATGGCCATGAGCCACCATGTGGTTGCTGGGAATTGAACTCAGGACCTCTGGAAGAGCAGGTAGTGCTCTTAACCACTAAGCCATTTCTCCAGCTTTCTAACAGATCCTATTTTAATCCCCTGTTGATGGTTTGGAAATGCCGTAAACCATGAAGAACAGAAAACTAGATGAACAACAGCTGTTTTAAGTCACGGATCTGTTCACTTTCCTGTCTACCTGTTTACAGGACTGGTATTTCTCATATCTGGGGGCTAACCGAGTTTGCTTTCTGTTACTGTGATGAACACCATGACCCAAAGCAACTTGAGGGAGGAAAATGTTTACTTTTATGGTCACAGTTCATCATTGAAGGAAGTCGAGTCAAGAGATTAAACTGGAACTGAAGCAGAAGCCATGGAGGAATGTTGCTTGGTCCCTAACTTTTGCTTAGCCAGCTTTCTTACACAGCCCACAGTGGGCCAGACCCTGCTCTGTCAAACAACAATGAAGACAATACCGTACAGACATCCACACAGACTAGTCTGATCAAGCAGTTCTTCAGCTGAGATTGCCTTTTTTCAGGTGACTCTATATGTACTAAGTTGGCAGTAAGAACTAACCAGACTAGGAGCTGTAATAAAAACAAACAAAGCCAGGCCCTTAACTCATTCAGTGTCTTGTCCCTTTCCTCCTGGTCACAAAATAGCTGCTGAGACCTGTGGACGTTCAGGGTAAAAGGCACTGCTTCCTCCTATTAAGCTTCATCTTTTTTTCTAGAAGTTTCTCCAGAACCTTGTAGCCAGGGGTTCTGGGATCTGGTCCTTCTATCAGTGTGGGAAGCTATGAGGTTTTGTGTCTGACGTAGAGGCAGGAGGACAGAGGCATGAAATAAGTTTGAGAAGCCAGCCTGCCTGTGGCATTTATCACAGCAGTACCAAGCTGTGTCTGTGTGCCTCCATCCATGTGATGGTGTCCATATGCAGAACCTTTTGACTGTGCATCTCACCTAGAGGTTGAAGAAACACACAGGTGCAGCCAGACATGAAACCCAAGACAGACTGCCTTCCAGCTCCCAGCCTGTCACTTCTCGGGTATCCAGTAAGATTGGTGAACCTTCGACAGCGATGGGAAGCCTTCCTTATCTTGTAGCTAATCCGGCTTTTAGCTGCAAGCCTGGAAGTAGCTAGCCTCAGACCTCGCCCCTGACTCCCACTTGCTCTGTGACCATAGCCCAGGTACCTGACCCACTCTGTGCTTCAGCTCCCTCATGTGTAAAAAGGGATAAGTAAGATCAGTTTCCTTTTAGGAACCCTGACTGTTAAATGAATTGCTAGATACTAGACAATAGATAGTAAGGCACTTGGGGCAGTGCCTCACGCAGGGAGAGCAAATATAAGCCTGTTTCTGCTGGCTGTTATAACTGCTTCTGGCAGTTATTTATGACTGGTTTGTGGTGGACTACCCCATGTCCTCTCTCTACTGTTCTCTTTGCAGCCTCTTATCTCAACCTCCTCCTAGCTTGGCTTTACTATCCTCAGGTCAGAGAATCCCGTTATATAACACAAAGGCCTTTGTGGCCCGAGGGAGCAAGTGACCCTCCATAGGGGCAAATGGTCTTTTCAACTTTGCTGACACACTTACTCCAAAGCATCACCCACTCTTAAGAGTCCCCAGCTTGTCCACCTGCAACAGCAGAGTCAATGGACCCCCACCTATCTCTCCCAGGGCCTGCTCTGGGCTGCTCCTCTTACAGTGGCTCCTCCCCAGCTGTGCTTAGTAGCTACACTGCTGGAGCATCCTGGGAGATCACACAGCTAGGCTTTCTGGGACCTGTTTACACATTCCTCCGTTCCACGGCTTCCCTACTTTTGAACAGTATCTTTCCCGAGGAGCTCAGCTGTGAGCGTGTAAGCGGATAAGCAGTGCTGTTGTCTCGTCTTCGGATTAACTGTGAGCTACCTGGAGTGTTGACATGCTGAGGTGACAGCCATGGGGTATCTTCTGCACAGTAAGACTTCCGTCACACAGAAAGGGAAACGGAGGCTGAACGGATGCTGTAGGGTAGCGTACCCCCTCACGCATTCTAAGAGTAGTCAGGTAACTTGGCATGGAACTGGGTCTAGCCTGAGATGGGTTCCATAATTCTAAGAACCCCAGATCTACAGTAATGGTTGTTTGGTGTCACTGTGATGCATGCAGGCTTGTGGGTCTTCCTACCTATTCCTCTTGACACTGTGACCACACACACCGGTTTGCAGGCCCTCCTGTCCATCCCTAGTGTCATTGTGACCACAAACTAGCTTGCAGGCCCTCCTATCCATCCCTGGTGTCACTGGCTTGCAGGCTCTCTTCACCTTTAGCTGATCTCCTGGGCACTTTCCCTCATACTTAACATAGAGGACTGTTGAGATTCAAGCACTTCCGGAATAGCAATTAGTTTGTAATGAAAGAAATCTATAAACCTTCAGGGAGTGTCTGGCAAAAACACAAGGTGTAAGAATCAATGTATTTATGGGACATCTTGCGCATCTTTAAGAAAGCAAAAGCTTGGGTTTTTGAATCAAGCACTATATAAATGATGTCCTGGGAAAGAAAAGAATCAGGTGAATCTCTTCAGATTGCATCTGAAGCATCAAGAGCTCCGGTGTGTGGGAAAGGATTGTTTCTGTAGTGGAAAAATAGCTGCATTATATTTTCAGAAAGTGACACTTCCACTGAGGCGGTGAGCTGTCTGCATTTTAAAAACTGTGCACAGCCGGGGCACTCAGCTGTGCCTTTTCTCTTGGATTTCCTGTGCCGACTTAAGCCTTCTCCATGAGCGTGTGTGTGTGTGTGTGTGTGTGTGTGTGTGTGTGTGTGTGTGTGTGAAGCCAGCCAGTGAATAGTCTCAGATGTCATTTGTTTTAGTTTCATTTCTGTTGCTTCGGTAAGACACCCTGACAAAAAGCTTCTTAGGAGAAAAAGGGTTTATTTGAGTTCATAATTCCAGGTGGCAGCCCATCACTGCAGAGAAGTCACAGTGGCAAGAACTTGAGACATCTGGTCACATCACATCCATGGTCAAGAGCAGACGGCAGTGAATGCATGTGTGCCCGTTTGCGTGCTTGTGCTCAGCTTGATTTTTTTTCTATTCTTAGACAGTAAAAGACCACCCCCCCACACTTAGGGAGTGGTGCCACCCATGGTAGGCTGGGGTCTTCCCCATCAATTAACTTGAGTAAGACAGTCCCCCACAGACATGTCCACAGGCTAATAACCCAGTGTAGGCAGCCCCTCACTGAAGATCTTGTCTCAGGGGATTCTCTGTTGTATCTTGTTGACTATTTAAACGTTTTTAAATTATATTTTATTTTTGCCTGCGTGTTCATCGGTATGTGTTTGGGCACATGACAACTCGTGAAAGTTACTTCTCTTTTTCTGCCATGTAGGTCCCAGGGACCAAACTCAGGTTGTCAGATTTTTGTTGCAAGCACACCGAGCCATCTCACCATCCTGAGTGACAATTAAAGCTAACCTTCACATCTTTCTCAGGAGCCATCCACCTGGCGTGTTGGTGGTTTTGTTTGTTTGCTTTCGAGAGGGAGCCTCTAAGTGTCTTGGTGCTTGCTACTCAGCTAGATTGGCTGTCCAGTGAGCTGCAGTATTCTGCTGTCTCAGCCTCCTCAGCTCTGAGATTACAAGCATGCAGCACCATGCCCAGCTTTCCTCTTAGGCTGGGGATCAGACTTAGGTCCTTGTACTTACATGGAAAGCTCTTCCTTGACTGGATCCTCTCCCAGGACTCTGAAACCAAACTGTAAATGGTTTCAGTGTTTCACTAAAAGAGTAATGAGTGGGGAATGAAGCCAGCGGAGCAGAACATTTCCTTGCTCAGGGAAATGTCCCCAGAGAGAGGACATGGAATCACCCTGCTCTCAGTCTGTGTTCAGGTGACTGCTGGGCACTCTGCCAACTGAAACCTGCTAAGTGTCACTCATTTGAACTGACTAAGCAGGGGGCACAAAGAAGAAAGTGAGCGTTAACACCGAGAGGGTGCTGATGATAGACCAGGCCCTGTTGTGATTGGATGGTTTGGATGAGAATTGTCCCCACAGGCTCATGTGTTTAAACACTTGGTCCCCAGTTGGTGGTGCCATTTGGGGAGATTGTGGGACCTTTATGAAGTAGAGCCTTGTGCTTGCTTTGGCAGCACGTAGACTACAGTTGGAATGATACAGAGAAGATTAGCGTGGCCCGTGCACAAGGATGACAGGCAAATTCACGAAGCGTTCATTAACAAATGGATCAGCTATCTCTACAAAGACTTTAATCATCATGGGAAGTACAGATAGAACAGGAAATGAAGAGATAGTATTTGTCACCACGGAGAAGGGGAACAGGACTTATCCTGACAAGGAAAGAGCTTTGTGTGCTCTCTATAATGAAAATGGGGCTTCTTTGGGGAAAAAAAAAAAGGTACAGTCTTACTGGAAGAGGTGGGTCAGTGCTAGCTCCTGAGGTCTTAAAGCCTGTTGCCTACTTTCCGTCTGCTCTCTGCTTCCATGTGCCTGCAGGTGTGATGAGTCCCAACCACATGCTCCCAACACTTTAGCCTCCACTGTGCCACCCCAGCCCTGACAGACAGTACCCCCTCAATTAGTGCGTGAGCTAGAGTAGAACTTTCTCCCTTTAAGTCAGTGGTTCTCAACCGCAGGTTGAGACCCCTTTTCGGGTCAAATGACCCTTTCACAAGGACTTGCCTAAGACCATCAGAAAACACATGTATGTACATTATGATTCATAACAATAGCAAAATTACACTTATGAAATAGCAATGTAAATAACGTTATGCTTGGGGGTCACCACAATAGGAGGAACTGCATTAAAGGGTCTCAGTATTAGGAAGGCTGAGAACCACTGTCCTGAGTTGCTTCATGTCAGACATTTAGTCACAGCAACGAAAAGTAACTAAAACAAGTGATTTAAACACGTTGTAGCAACCGACCTGACTGACTGGAAAGCCTCTGCTAGCTACCATTTGCCAAAAGGGAAAATGCATATATTTAGCATAAACCCAGAGTGTAGGAAATCAACACCCTTCCCTGCCCTGCACGTCACCTCCTAGATAAAACAGCAAAACTCTTAAGTAAAATTCAAAATATTTAATCACAACATTTGATCCTTACCCAAATCTCTGAAAGATATTGTCTCCTGTTTTTATTTCTCTTAAGCATTAGTTCAGATCCTTTAAATAATACTGTTCATAATAAGTTAAGGAAGGGCATTGGCCAAAAGATAGGTGTCATCTACTACCAACACCAACAAACACACACATGAGCATGGTCTCACATGCACACATGCAAACACATGAATCAGCACCAACATACAGAGATATCTGCACACCCACACACAGCCACATGCATGCATATGTATACGTTACATGTATATACGTCCATAGACACACCAACATATACATTCATTCATATGCACACACATTCACACCCAGGTATTTGGATGCATATACACACACACACCAATACCGACTCATGCAGACATACACACACCAACACACACATGCATATGGATACATTGCACACACACACAAACTGACACACACCAGTGCCAATTCACACAGACATACACACCAACACACACATGCATAAATATGCATGCACACACACAGAGAGAGACATACACCAGTACCAACACTTAGAGACATGCACACTAACACACACACATATGCACACGGGCTTGTGCACACAAACACAGATGCACTCACCTGGCAGCCTCCAGATGTAGTCATGGCTTACAGACACCACAAGAATTCTTCCTGCTTTTCTGAGACGACAGGCATGTCTTGTCAGGCACCAGTCACTCCAGAGCCAGTGGTGGTTTTATTTGAATCCAGAAGCACCTTTGAAGCTGTTACCATCTGGCTTTAACATGTCACTGGTTCTCATAGCCCCAGCTAGGCACAGCTCATAGTGCTGAAGATCAGGTTGGCCAGATCCACACACTTATGTGTCTTTATTCTGAGATTTTTCTGAAAGGAGAAAATAGTATCCAGTACTCTCCAACCTCGGAAGCTTAATTTCTCATCTGCCATTTCCTCTTTCTTTCTTATCTCAAATTAACAAATTTTATGGCCGTGCAATTTTTACATCGTTCCAGAGAACAAAGGGTCAGGCATATGTTGAACCTCTGGTGTCGACATTGGCCCTATAAAGTAAGATGTATTCTGCTTAGCCTTGGGAAACCTGCACATTGAGTTCCTTCCAGAAACATTCTTTGATCCCACAGTGATTTTTAAAAATTAATTATATTCATTTGCTTCATTTCTTAGAGATGCACACATTATGTGCGAGTGAGTAGGAACTCTAGAATAGCCACTAACTTCTTCCTGTCTGCTGCTGGCTTTCCACGTCTGAGCCTGCTGCTTACAAGGGGATCTCCTGGGCTCTGTAGACAGCCACAGTGAGGAAACACAGCAGGAGAATGGGAAGCTCTGCTCTCTGCCAAGCCTGCTCTGATAGATTTGTTCCTACATGCTGTCAGAATGCGTGCTAGAGTGTTCTCCCTCTGAACTGCTTGCTAGCCTCTCATCATGAATTCCAGCTAACGGTCACTCTACTGGGCCTCACAGCGACCAGCCCTGACCTTTCCCAGACAACGTACCACATCTGGTCTGGGACAGCCCTGTGACACAGAAGTGAGGGAGATTGACCATCGAGCAGTCCTTCCTAAGTAGAGGCCATTGCAAGACGCTCTATGTAGTGGACACTAGCGCCCGTCCTATTCCCACCTAGGCTTCGGGAACAGGAAAGTGGAAAGTGGGGTATGGTAGCTCAGTGGTAGAGCACTTGCCTGGCATGTACTAGGCCCTGGGTGTTCCATCTCTCTCTCTCTCTCTCTCTCTCTCTCTCTCTCTCTCTCTCTCCTCCCCCCCTCCCCCCCCCCTCACACACACACACCAAAATGGGGGAGGATAAAACAGAAATAAGAAGCAAATTCCGGTTAGTAAACCTGTCTCCTTCACATGCTTCCTTGCATGCCATCCAGCCTGGCATGAATCCAGTGTGCTTTAGGCTAGTGTACACCATCAGGACATCCTGTCCCTGTCCCCAGAGCATTTGCCTTCTCTTCTCGTACAAGCCTATGGGAGTGGATTTGCCATCACTTCCACTTTCCCTGTCCGGGCTAAATGAGGATTCAGTGAGTTGATGCTCCGGGCCAGCATTCAGTGAACAACCATGGTCTGTCTGTCACTGTTACAACCAGGCTGTGTTATTACTGTTAACTGGGGCCATGCTTGCCTAGAATCTCCAGCAAGGGGCTGGGACAGTGGCTCAGTGATAGAAGGCGTTACCTTAGCATGTACGGAGTCCTTGGTTTCAGTCTGAAACATTATAAAGTAAGGCTTTCAGACTTATGGGAAACTCTGGCTTGCAGGTATGCCAAGGCCACTGAGGGCACCTTGTAGCATATTTGGAGGGTGTGATCCTGGCAAGTGTGCCACCACACATATGAGAAAGCACACATCCCTTGGCAGGGTGGGGGTTGGGGGGAGGTGAGTGTCAGCCTTGCAGGCTTATCAGACCTTGTTCTTCCAGGAAGCCTTGTTGTAAATCATCACTTTCCCACATCAGGCCAGGATTTATGGTCCCTCATGTCATTTCAACCACTGTTCATTAATCCTGAGATCTCACTTAAACTATTAAACCATCCTGTTCTGGTTGTGAGGGTTCTAGTTATATCCTCAAGAGGCTGTCATTACCCAGATTGTCAGCTACACTTAACAGACACTAGTCTGTCCCATCCCCGGTGTCATGTCTGTTGTCCCTGTCCCCCCACACCCCATCAGGACTCACCTGTGTTATAGGACAAGACCTAAGCCAAAGAGTCAGGAGGCAGAGAGCAGAAGTTCTCAAAGCTGGCTGTACATGAGATCATCTGAGAAATGTGTGTGTTGTGCAGATTCCCAGGCCACACCCTCTCCACCTGTCTGGGTGGAACCAGGGAACTGGATCACAGCCAGCTTCCCTGGGGATGCTGATAGGGATAACCCTGGGAGCCAGAGATAAGAAATCCAGCCTTGGGTGTCAGGGCTGTTCAGACCTCTTGAGGAATAGCTGGTGGGAAAAACAAAAAACAGGTATACGAGCTTTCTTAGTCACTGTTCTGTTGCTGTGAAGAGACACCATGACCATGGCAGCTCTTATAAAGGCAAGCGTTTAATTTGGGGCTTGCTTACAATTTCAGAGGTTTATCATGGCAGGGAACATGGGGACACGCAAGGTACTGGAGCAGCAGCCAATCTGCAGGCCAAGAGACAGATGCTGCCTGGTGTGGGTTTTTGAAACCTCTAACTTGGGTGACACACTTCCAACAAGGCCACTCCTCCTAGTCCTTCTCAAATACTGCCACTCCCTAATGACAAGGTATTCAAGTCTATGAGCCTATGAGTCATTCTTTTCTTTAATAATTTTTTTATTCATTTTACATTCCAACCATGGCCCCTCCCTCCTTTCCTTCCAGTCCCTCCCTTACAAATCCCCCCATTACCTCCAACCCTTCTCCTCAGAGAAGGGGGAACCCCCCTTGGGCACCACCCCACTCTGGTACATCTAGTCCCAGCAGGACTTTGACACATCCTCTCCTGCTGAGGGCCAACCAGGCAGTCCAAGAGGGAAGGGGAATCCAACGGCAGACAACAGGGTCCGAGACAGCCTTCGCTCCAGTTGTTTGGAGACCCCACATGAAGACCAAGCTGCACATCTGCCACAAATGTGTGAGTCCAGCCTGCGCATACTCACTCTTTGGTTGGAGTCATTCTTACTCAGACCACTGCTGAACATTCTTTTTCTTTTTTTTTTTTTTAGATAGGGTCCCTTGTAACCCAGGCTGACCTCAAACTTGCTATGTAGCCAAAAGATGGTCCTTGAATACCTGATCCTCCTGCCTCCACCTCCCAGCTGCTTAGATTATAAATTTACACCCTGCACCAGGTCAAGTTTATGCCGCGCTAGGGATAGAACTCAGGGCTTCATGCATGCAGGCAAGTATTGTACAAGCTAAGGTGAATTTCAGCTCCTCCTTTTTCAGTCGAGAAGCTAAATCCCAGAGAGGACAGCCATTGGTCAGGGCCCCACAGTAGAGCCACAGCCTGGTTCCCTGGCCGGCCATGGGGATGAGGTAATAATAACACTTCGGAATCATTCCACACTCTATAAATACATGGTGATGGTATTATTTTCCAGCTGGAGCGTCCCGTGACAGAAATGGCTAGGTACTTTCTCTCTAA